AAAATGCTCATTTACGTTACAGTTGTATCAAAAAGTTTGGTCATTCTTTTATCCATTTTTTAGGTGACAACAAATACAACTCCTGCAGCAAACCTACATTTGAAAATGTACTGTTGCATTTTATTTCATGAACTTCAAGCCACAACAAAACCAACTGTGGCATGTGCAAAAGCATAGTCACTACATTAATCCAATAGTTGTCAACTATTGAATTAATCTCCAGTTATTTTGGTAGTTGACAGCTGTGTAAGTTTTGAGTCATTTTTTGAGTCAAAATTCTCAGTTTGCAGCATCTTAAATTTATATGTTTTCTGCTTTCTTTAATCCTTGTTTAATCCTTCTTTCATGAGGACGCCATCTTGGGTTTTGGGAAACATAGATCAACAGTTTTCACCATTTCTAATATTTTTTAGAGCAAACTGATCAATTAATCAATAAAATAATTGACAGATTAATTCAATGAAAATGATGGTTATTTGCAGCCCTTGTGAGTTCAGTGTGTCAGTACACAGTAACCGTCTCTATTTTCTTTGATTCTCTTTATTCTTGATTCAGGATCTTGTAGCTTCTCTTCTTTGCAAATCATTTCACATTTTGATGTGTTTGCATTTTGCAGACACAGCATGTTTCAACCCTTAATAGACACTTTCTAAGCAGCTTCAAGGTTGTCAAAACCATCTCATTTGTCACTGCCAGTATCAGCTTGTTGTTATTGGAACTCTTGTTTAAATTGCTCAAACCCTCCATCAGGCCAGTGTGTGTTTCTTTTGTGTTTCCTCAGTGTTTGACAGGAATACATCAGACTGACACCTCTTCCTGAGGTGACATCTCCATTTTCATTCTGAGATTTAAAATCCATACTCTGCTCCCTTCTTTATCAGATGTTAATGCTATGGGATTATGCAACAGTGAAACACAGCATTCAGGCTGCGGTTGGTTCTAATCACTCACTTGCATTGATTGAAAGCCCAAAACGCAGCGTTTCACAGAGAGGTCAGCTGAGTGCACATTCACCTGAACTGTGTAAGCCTCAGGCAGGACTGAACACAGACTGGACTCTGTGTTCAGTGTGTCTGACCTCATTTTCTGATCCAGTTACAGGTTGGTTTTAGAGCTGTAATTTAGGATTCTTCTCTTTGTTTTGTGGAATAATTTATGCCTGTAATTAACAGCGTTTTATCAACCGATGTGTATCGATTGATAGACATTTAATCTATAAAAATAATATAAAACAGAATAATGCTCTGAGTGACGTGCAAGCAGCCAGTTATTTAATACGTTGTCGTCTGGTTCACTATCAGTAAATACAACTACATGGGTTGAACCTCGCCGTGTTGTCTCAGGCTGCAAACATTTTTCAAAGACAACACTTCCTCAACTTTATTCAGAGTGAAAGGAATCCAAAAACAAGAGCTTCTATCAGGTGTATGTTAGCTTAACTGTTTCATCAGTCAATATTTATTTTTATTTATGTGTGAATTTTTTATGGATTTGTGCTGGTTTTTAAAAGTCTAAATAAATTGGTTTGATTTGAGCCCTTTTCTTTTGGTTGTTAATCACAGTAGGTTATCATGATATTATCAATAATTATCGACATCAACTGAATTTAAACATTTTATGCTGATATAATTTTCCAGCTTTACTGCCCAGGCCTAAGCCATGTATTATTAGACTGAAGTTGTTAAATTCAAAGTAAAGTAGTTGAATTCAAAATAAACATTTTTTCTTTCGAATTATTGATTATGCTGACTAATATCCATCAATCCATCCATTATCTATACACCGCTTAATCCTCACTAGGGTCGTGGGGGGCTGGAGTCTATCCCAGCTGACTCAGGGTGAAGGCAGGGGACACCCTGGACAGGTCACCAGTCTATCACAGGGCTACACTTAGAGACAGACAACCAAGCACACTCACATTCACACCTACGGACAATTTAGAATCACCAGTTAACCTAGACTGTGGGAGGAAGCTGGAGAATCCACGCTGCATGGGGAGACTGGGATAGACTCCAGCCCCCCAGAAGTCAAATCCCAGAAAAAATAGTATTATTCCTTGATTAAGATGTCATATTATAGTTATTTACTTGCATTCCTGAACAGAAACAGTTTTAGTGGTTGAATGAGATGCTTGATTCATTCCTGACTTCTCAGAGAAGCCCAGTGAGCCGACTCAAATTTGGGTATAAAAAGTGGAGAACAGTTTGAAATTCCTCATTCCTGTCCAAAATAGTAAAATGTTTAAAAAAAAAGAGCTGATTGCTCATTAAAGACAAATAGGGAAAGACATAAAGGGTTCTCACAGTGTGGTCAAGTGTGCTTTGGAGTCAGTTGCAGAGACTGGGACTTACAAAATACACCAAGGAAGAGGCAGGAAATGAAAGTTAACTGAAGCAGATGTCAGACACATCAAGATTTTAAGTACTAGAGACAGAAGGAAGACCACTGCTGATCTTCAGGCAGAGATGAATGCTTCTAGACAGAGACTGAGAAAGTCTCCAGAATGACCATAAGCAGACAACTGATGGAACAAGACTTAATGGGTATAATAGCTGCTAAGAAACCATTATTGAGGTCTACAAATCTCCAGAAACGCCTCAGATTTGCCAGGGAGCACTGGATGAGTGGTTACTGGATGAAGGTACTCTGGACAGACGAGTCCAAGTTTGAACTCTTCAATCAGCATCGTCATGTTTATGTCCACAGAAAAGCTGGAGAACGTTTTGATGCAGGATGCACTGCACCCACAGTGAAACAAGGTGGAGGTTCCATTATGGTATGGGGCTCCATTTGTGAAAATGGCGTGGGCACATTTGTGAGTATCAATAGTATCATTAATGTCTACCAAAACATCTTAGTGCATCATGGAATTCCTTCTGGACTGCATGTGATTGGTCGTGGGTTCATATAGCAACAAGACAATGAGCCCAAGCATACTTCAAAGTGGTGCAGAGACTATTTGACCAAGAAAAAGGCATCTGGAGTCCTGGAAATGATGGACTGGCCAAGTCAAAGTCTGGATTTGAATCCTATTGAATACATTTGGGATGTAGTACATTCAAAGATTGATCACACAAAAAATTAATCTATAGCAAGTCTGGAGGAACAGCTACAAACTATTTGGAACTCACTAACAAAAGAGACTGTGGAAAAGCACATAAAAACAATGACAGCAAGAATGCAAACTGTTGTCAAGGCCAAAGAAGGCCATACAAAATACCAAGCTTTTTGGTTATTATGTGTGAAAAAGGACTGTTTAGTTGGTTCAGTTTGTTATTTGCCAAATAAATAGCAATAACATTTTTAGTTTTAAACAAGTTTTCGAAAGATTTCTGAAATATTTATGTTTTCTCGTTTTTTATGACAGGTTTTCTAACAAATTTCAGTGCTCAACATCAAAGCTGCTGTTACTTTCATTGTCGATTAATCCGTTGATTGCTCTCTCATGTAATTAATCAGGGTTTGGTCTATAAAATGTATGACATACTTACTAATATTTGTAGCAGGCATTTCATTTTTTTATACTTGAAGATAGAATATGATTATGATATGTATATATATTATCATATGTATATGATAAGAAAGTAAAAACAAGTGGAGATTTATTTTTTTTAAATAAAGATTCTTTGTTTAGATGAACTTGTTAATCTTAAGAAACTGATTACTGTAGAACATTCAGCAGCAACTTTTGAGTCATGAGTACGTTGTCCCTCCAACAGCATATCTCTTTAGGTTCTTAATTATTATGCCATAATCCATAAAAAATATAATACTTTTAAATGTCTATAAATATTCCCACAGTATATTTCTTGTTGTCTTTTGCAATAGATGAAGCTACAATTAGTTGCATCATTTAGATGGATGATGGTATACTTGTTGTGTTTTCCTCTACCTCACAGACAAGAGTAAAGAGAAAACATTCATTGTTTCCAGCTTCTCAGATGTCATCATTTGCTGACTCATGTTCTTTGTATTATTATTTGATGTTGTAACAGCCCCCCCCCCCTCCTTTTTTTAAATATCAAAGAACAAATGTGATAACCTAGAATATGATTGGAAGATCAATCAAGGTGAACATAATCATGTAGCTGCAGCTGCTTTCTCTCAGTATTATGTAAGAGATAGAGGGCGTCTGCTTCACTCCGGTGTGTGTCAACTCAACAGAAGGTGCATCAGCTGAACATTAATCACATATTTCGTTAATTTCAGATCTCAGGATTCCTGCCAGTGTTCTTCCATCTCTGCAGCTCAGCAAAACACAAGAAAACTGTGAGTATGAAATCTTTTTGGTCTTCTTCAAGGTTGTTCTGCTTCGAACAAGCCTTCATTTCATGCTTATTCACAATGGTGGGAGGGACACCTTAAATACACTTGACCAAAAACAGTGAAATGTCAGTATCTCAAGTAGAAGTACTCATGATGCAGAAACTTCCCTGACAGAAAGCAGGTCTTTAATGTGGTCATGAGAGCAAATGATCACTAAATCAAGATTTACAAACTGATCTAATGTTTTCTTTGCAACAACGGGAAGTTTTCAAGTGTGAAGTAGTATCAAATAGAAATACTCAAGTAACACATTCATATTACTTTTAAATACAGCAGTTGAATTTGTGTATTTAGGTCTGAGCTGAAATGGTTGGCTGACAAACTGATTATGCAACTGACTGGAACCAACTGGCAACTATTTTAGTAACCAAATCATTTAAAAAATATTTCTAAAGCAAAAATGTGAAGAAAACTTTGACTGTTCTTAGCTCTGCATGTGTGAGTATTAATATATAAAATGAATATTTGAATAAACTACATTTCACTGTCTGAGCTTTAAAGTGTTATTCAGGTTAAACAATGACTTCAGTATTTTCACTGGAGTTGAAAAGAGCAAGTTGTAAGCACTTCTTCTGTCACTGAGCAGCATCAATGTTCTCAGCAGGACTTGGAGATTAGGAAAGACAATTTTCATGTGCACTGGAAAAGGAAAAGAAAGAAGAGCCACTCCAAGGTTCATGTTTCCAACACATAAAAGGAAATATATTTTAAAAAATTGTTCATACTGAAGAACTTTTATCATTGCAGAGTCATTTACACAAGGGGCAGTTGTACGTCAGTCTGTTGTATTCATATATGTGGTTAATTAGTTGCACACGCTGCCTCCTCTTCACTTGCTTTGCAGACAGTTACACAGTTTCAGAATAAAATTCAGCATTTCATCTCTCATTGATTTTTAAACTTGATTGAGACACTAATACTCTGGGACATCACATTTTTGAAATGGCAAATGAGCAATCAGGTGAATTTCTTCCTTTTTTGCTTATGACAAATCAAAAAGAGAAAAAAAAAATCAAGACTTTTATTAGATTTTCCTTTTTTTTTCCTTCTTTTTTTTTTTGTTTTTTTTGTTTTTTTTACAAACACATCTCACTTACATGGTCAATCTTTCTATAAATCTGTGGTGTAGAAATGTCACCCGAAATGCAAGGGATGTGCATAGGTGTCAAGTCAACGTCCAGCTCCGTCACTATTAGTTTTTTTTTTTTTTTCTTGCCCCCTCTGGCTTCTCTTGGCTGAGTTCAGTCTTCCAAACAACTGGAATGTTTTTTTTTCTTTAAATATATAGATTTTTTTCTTTCTCAAAGGTTTACAGAGGGACACGGGGAACACTGACTGACTGACAGCATGGAAGCTTGCAAATGTCCACATGCATGATAACCTCATTCAAATCTCTAAAACATTTATGGATTTATTTAGAAGAGACAGTACCTGGTCGGTCGAGAGGTGCACGGTGATACTGTAATAGTACCGAGCGCTAACAGCAGGACAGATGAGGGGAAATAATCCGGTGTCACAGCTTAGAAAAGAATAGGAATGAATAAATAATGAGGGCTGCTGACATGATCTACAGATGAGAAGACATTGCAGTGTGCTTGTGTGCTTTTACTTCAGTCTGCGGATAGAGAGAATACCCACTGACAGCGTCTCTTCTACAGGTGGTTTACGACACCCAACAGGACTACGATGTGACGGGAGGGATGTGGAGAGGCGGGATGCGGTACTGTCTCTTTAAAACAAACATCTACAAAAATGTCGCCTCCTAGCTAGTACAGACATGACAATATTCACTTTTTGTTTACTCTGTTTTTATACAACACTATGACTAGGTCGTCTGCAAGGACAAGAGTCCGACAATTGGCCGCTGCAGGCTGTTTGCGCGGCAATCAGGAGGATTTCAGTTGAATGCTGTGGTCGCTTTCACAGTACGCTGAGGGTGTTTTCGATCAAGTGCAGTGTAGAGAGGTTTCCCATTCGTTTGTGTTCATAGTTTTTCACTATTCTTGTTTTGAAGAGAGAGTGATGGGAGTTTGGCTGAGGTGTCGTTGCTGGGAGGGGAGATGGAGTAGTAGAGGTGGAGGAGGAGGTGGTGCAGGTTAGTAGACCCAGGACACGGGGACCCACTGGCTGGTGGTGCACACCAGATCGATGGCCTCTTCAAGGTGTCTGATGGTCTCATCGATCTCGTTGTTGATGATGGTCTGGTCGAAGTAGTGGGCGTAGGTCTTCTGCAGGATCTCCGACTCTTTCTGCAGCCGCTGGAGAGACTCGTCCTGGAGGAGGAGGACGAGGAAAAGAGGGTGTTAGACACTGATGGAGGCAGAGAAGGATGAGAGCCCACAGAGGACTGAAGAAAATCTTCAGAGAGAAAGATCAGTCTTTGAAGTGGAGCTGTATAAGGTACTTATCCACAGTCAGTGTCGTAGCCATAGCAGGAGCACAGAGATGAATGGTGTCAGCAGCAAAGCACATTTCAGCCAACTCAAGAAATCAGGACCTGTGTCAGTGTATTTTCAATATTCAGGATATTTCACTGCTTAACCCAGCTGTCAGAAAGCTCTTTCCTTTGGTGCTACATTTCCACAACTGTAGGACTTCCACATTCCTACACATGATGTGCACATGATGTCCACTGCATTACACGGCAGATCAGCAGTGTTGGTCAGAGTCTCAGTGCTGTAAAGCTTTATTTACTGTATACCTCAGTGTTGATCTATTCCACAGTCTGACATGCATTTTCCCTGAAATGTAACTACAAGTTGTGGTGATGCAGACTGCAACAACTAAGACTGGGCCACTTGGTAGTAATATACCATGTTAATGTGGCACACTGAGCTGCACAAAGATAATGTGTAAAAGCATGTAATAGGTTGCATTTCACTTTCTCATCACACAGATGCAGGAGCCAGTATTTTGTCAGTGTAGCAATATGATGATTTCTCGTTTCCATCGCTCTACCGGTCAGCATATAGACTTAGATGGATCCTTTGTCTTCTCCCTTTCTAAACTGTTCATTTTTGGTAAAAGTAACTGGAGCTTCAACAGATATAACTCCAACAAGACCTGCTCTGTTTTACTAACTATTGTTTGAGGTATAAATGCCACTAAGTAGCATAATGGTGTATAGTTTCCAATTGGCACACCAAACCTACATAAATGCTCACAACAGTGAAGCCTCTCTATAGATTCAACACATGAGTATAACTCAAGCTCAATGCAGTGCATGGTTGTGCTTTTGTGTAGGAATCCACAAGTTCTACAGATAGGAAAATACAAAATAACACGGCCACCTCACAGGTAAAGCGGTATAAATATTCAAAATAGAGCAGACATTTAAAGGGATAACTTTATGTGACTAAAATACGTTTTACTGCTGACCTTATTCACAGCAGTACTGCTTAGAGACCTGGCTAGCTGCCCTCACTGCTTCTCCAAACTGGGGCACCACTATCTACTGTAGGTAATACAACGACTGTGGATAAGTACCTCACTATCTCACTTCAAAGAAATCTAACTATTCCTTGAAGGCCCCTAAACACTGTGTGATTAACTTGCGTTGCATACACTTACATTATATTAAACGCACAGTGTTAAGGGTTTAACTCAGCAAAAGGGGAAGCGCACCACTAGAACCATAGTCCACAGTGCTTTAGTAGCAGAAGGCAGCTGGACTTCTTTGTGGTTCTTATACTTGGTTTATTTCATCCAATTTATCTTATTGGGAGTTGCTGAGTTGAAGTGTCCGAGAAACGTAGGATTTTCTCTAAACAAAACATTGCAGTCCAGTTCTTTGGAGCGCTATGAGTTACCTCGCAATGTGTTCTACATTCCTCCTGATGCACACAAACTGTTAATTTCAGGCCCAGTCCAGTTATAACACTGTAGATACGATGATGTGAGGATGAGGATCCCTGCATTTATTGCTCATCTCCAACAACAACTGTGCCTGGCTATGTGGTTACTAGTTGGACTTCAGCTGCTGCTGTGTTTCAGTCTGTGTTGCTGTGGATGTCCAGCTGTTAGTATTTGAACCTGTGGTGCTTCTAAAACAGATGTGTTTATTTTTTAATTTTATTTAGGAGTGTAGACATAGAGGAGCTTTAATACAGCATTTCACCAGCAAAACTGTCCCTTCACACACATGACTGCAGCATGTCGTCAGAGTTACATCCATTAAAAACAAACGTGTTACAGCCAAAATGGCTGCAGTGATCAGTAAGGGAGCTGGTCAACCAGCTCCTCTTTCTAAATGTAATGTTGCAGACTTGTGCCTGATGGACACAGCTCAGGGTGTGAACTGACTCTGTTGTCACAGCATTGGCTTACAGGCCACATGATACTGTATCATAGTACACCTCATACAGTTGTGGCTACAAGGAGTCAGTGCATCATTTTTATTGCATCCTTTTACTCTGACTGCATGCAGCAGTATTGTGGGTGCAGCCATAGTTTGCTGGTGTTGTTTCACAGCTGCCGTATTCCTGAACCAAACCAGCTGCTGGAGTCTGAACAATAACCATAAATCCAACCACAGATTCACCATCAATACAGGCAGAGCCAGTGCTGTCAGAGATTGGCCTTTTAAAAGGAATAATGAACAATAAATGAGTCAAGCGTCAGATGTTTCTTCTGAATCTGTGGTATCTGCAGAGTGGTTCCCTAAACTGGCAGTGTGTTACGGCTGGACTGGACCAAAACAAAACACTGACTGCTCACAGGGAATGTAAAACATATTAAGAAAAGTAGTACTCAAAAACTCCTTGTCATGACCTTTAAGGGGCTTTGTACACTTCAGACCCATTAACACTTTGGGACAAAAACTGGTTCACCCTGAGAAGAAACTCCCCAAACACATGCTGAGCAACCTTATATATGTGTTATTCCATTTAAAACCACCAGGGGCCTTCTGCTTGACCATGTCCGATTTTTTATCTCAGAAATGATTTGATATCTCAAGCTAAATGTTCACAAATCCCTTTATAAACATCCATATTTCAAGTTATGAAAATTTGAGGCAAATCAAAGACTGTTGAGCAGATACAGTCTTGAAAATGTGATGAATTGAAATGGAATGAGCCACATGCAGTTGAATGCAGCAAGGAGTGCACAGGCCTATGTATGAGAAGACAGATGCCATCCATGTTAAAGTGGAACAGTCATTTCTGAACAGAGGAGGGGTCTACAACACCACTTATCAGGCACTTACAATGCAGTCCTGAGATCTGTCTCCAGGCAGTTTCACCACTATTCACACCTTGTCTCATATAGGTTGGGGGTGATAGTAAAAAACCTGCAACCTTGTAAATGAAGGTGGCACGTCCTCAAGAACCAAAAAAAGTCCATTTCCCACCATTTACTGAGGCACTTCATCATGGGAACCTGACTAACTGAGAATCTATGCAGACGCTAGAACCTTACAGGGAGTTTATGACAAGACATACACATACATAAATTAAAAATAACACTAGAGTGTCTGCTCCGTCTGGTTTTACTTACTGGCAGCGTTCGACACCACCTGGGCATCTGAGGGGAGTGCCAAAGAAACAAATGCATGCAGCGTGCAAAAATAAAATAGTGCAGAGAGGAATGAAACACAAACATAGTACGAAAGCGAACAGAACAAGAGACTGCAGGTTCACATGCTATGATGGCAGACATATAGATGACTTTGTTAGATTTGTTAAAGCGAGACAGCCAAGCATCAATCCTGTTTATCACAACTGGTAATAGTAATAACTTGTCAGAACATAATATGTGCACTTCAAAATGAGTTGCACATGTTATATAGATTGTAGGTGAAACATTGATTAACAGAAGCTGAATGGATTTTTGAAACGTGGAAAAAGAAACATTTACTGTTGTTTGCTTTTTAAATGTTAAAATTCACTGCTCTTCTTTTTCAGATATGTTCGTTGACTGGACAGCAATTTGAATGTCAGACTATGTTGTTTGATTTTAAAGAGACAATCACATATTGAGAGTCCTCAGCCAATTATTCAAATGATTTAACTCACTGATGAACCAAGATCATAATAACTGGTTACATTTGCAAATCTGATGAATCACCTTTTACTACATTTTTACAAGTTATTATTTTGGTTCTTGATTTTTGAAGAATAAGGCTGGTGATGAAAACCCAAAATGTGTTGATTTCTCTAGTTTGCAGTGACACTCAGCTCCAAGGTTATTTATTCATACTAAGGATGTCAATCTTTAAAAGCTGGTTTTTATTATACAGCACAGTTTGATATTTAAAAAAAGGCCAATTTCCTTTAACAGCTGAGCACTGTTGTTTTTTTGGCAATTGTTACTCAAAGAGGAGAACATTTTCAGCAGTCAATAACAATAATTATTATTTAAAAAGTCAGCATGTGTGGCATTGAGTCAAAATAAACTACAGGGTGTGTAGTCATGGTAATGAAGCAACATGTCACCAGTGCCAGGGTATTAAGCTGTGAGAATGCTCTCTGGTGATGTGCACATGGACAACTGCAGACTCCACAAATGTGTAGTTGTTGTCATTATACTGCTTTCTATTTCACTCTGAAGATGCTGTTTAATATATGTACAACAGGTATTAACAGAAGTTATTAATTTTAATTTGAACTTGCCATTTGAAACCATGCATTTAGCAAAAAGGCAAAGATTTCAATGTATGTCTTGCAGTGCATCTAACCCAGGGTTTAAACTGTCAACTCGTGTGAATGTTGATCTTAAGCCTGACTTGAACCCTTTAAAAAATGAAATCAAGAATTCAACTGCAATTATGTATTTCCCCCAAATATTTCCATCATCAGAGGATATACATGAGGTTCTGTGCAGATTTCTCTGAATCCTTTTTGGTCCGTGTGGCCACTACACAACAAGGGCACTAACCATGCACTAGAAAACCACAATGGACCAGGTTGATTTGATTTATAGTGCAAAAACACAAAATATGTAGATAGATGCTGATCTCTTGTATGGAACGTGTCCTCCCTTGTCCATGTGCACATCCACACTAGGGCTATGTCCTAGTAGTAGGTGTTAATAAAGTATCTTTGATAGTTTTTGGACAACAGTGGAGCTCTGTTTCACTGACGAGTAAAAAGATGTCGATGTTGGTCTTTTTATGAGCAATAAAAAATGTGGAGAACATCACCAGCCTTTTCCTTGGCTCAATTGTGGTGTCTAATCAGTCTCAAAACATGTGCACATGGAAACCAAGAGCAGGCAGAGGTGCTCAATGGAGTGCATTTGTGCAGAGCAGAAATGCTCTCTTGCAAGGATCGTTTTCCACTTGCAGTTACTGTTTTGTGAGATTGTATCACGTATACATGGTTGGTTTTTATGTGCACGAGTTTTGAGTCTAGTTAAACAGCAGAATCCATCATTTTTTGGTGTGTGTTTGTGCGTCTAGTGAGTTCTTACCTCATTGATGCCTGGTGTGATAGTTGGTGCAGCAATAAAGACGACGTACGGGGCAAACTCTGCTGTTCGCAGGACCTTCAGGGCCTGATGGAGAACAGGTGTTAGAGGTCAAACTGTCCGTACATACTGCCTGCACACACATTCACACTCTCAGCCACACACACCTGAGGTTCAACATCCAGAATAGAGATGAGTCCCTGTTGGTGGATCTTCCGAATGGTCTCGAGCCGCGTCCCGTACATGGCGTCCTCGTGGCTGCCGTACTCCAGGTACTCGTTGTTGCTGATGTCCTGCATCATCTGGTCGTGGGAAACAAAGTAGTAGTTCTTGCCATTCTCCTCGTCCTTTTTAGGAGGTCTGGTCGTGTCTGTAGGACACAGAATTGAACACAAGAAGTGAGAATTTCCTAAAGCATACAAAGGTACTTTTGTGTTTCCTGCCATGTGTTTGGAAATAAATATATGAAATAAAAACATATTGCGGTGCTGGGAAGTCTTACGTGGGATGGGGTAGGCAAATCTGTCGGGGTGCTTGGTTATGAGTGTGTTCTTGATGTGTCGTCTGCCGACTCCATGAGCGCCTGACAAAGACACACAAATTCAGTCAGTGAGGTCAGTTATGAAGCCAGACTTGCTCATTTCTTGCTGCTACACTTGGCATCACTCACCTAACAAAACTAGTGTTTTTCTCTTGAAAGCAGGCAGCTTCACAACCTCCTCATACGTGACGAGATCTAGTTGGTCAAACACTGAAGGGGAGAGATGAGAAAGACAGAATTAAGCTTAAAAGGATGTGGAAAGGAGGTGTTGGGATAAACAACAGTCAGGGAGCTCTAGAGAGTGTGAAGGGAACAAGGTGTACTAAACACATCTGGTAACTACGTGGTGAAGAGAGGAGGGAGTTCTCAAACCAAAGGAGATTAGAAATCTCCCTGGCAACAGGTCTAATGTGAAAACAGTGAGTGGAAATGACCAAGGTTGGGTTCAGACAGATGATCTGGTACCATGTTGGTATACAGAAAAACAAATGAATGTCTTTTTGAGCCTTTGTTTATTTTTTTGTGTGATTGGCCATTTTGACGCTGTGCAGGAAAGACAGCAGCTTCTCACTTATAGCTGCTGCTATTAATAGATGAAATAGAACTTCATTTATTCCTGAAGGAAATTATTGCCTAACAAAAAGTTACAAGAAGGGAATTAACCAAGAACAGCAAACATAAGGAGTATAAGCTAACAGCAGTGCCTAATTAGTTTAACAGAGCAGTTATATTTACATTTCTGGCAACAACAGCAGAAATCACAGATCTGAACTGAATCTTTCAACTGAAGTTATTTGTAACTTTAGTTCATAGCTAATGGTGAAAGTTAAATTTGATTCAAAAGTTGAATCAAAGACTACTGAACCACAACCCCAGAAATGACAAGAGGTGTATGGAATTATATTTGTGCCACAATCCTGAGCCCGCAATGGGAAATTTTGAGCACAGAAAAAAATCTTGAGAAAATAAAAACTTATTGCAAGCAAACAAAAATCTATTCTGTGCTCAAAACTATCACTGCTGTGTTTGCAGCTATCAACATACATGCACGATCATGCTGTCGTTCACTCCGTTTTGTCATTTGTCATTGGTCTTTCTTGTTTGTGCTCAACACTGACGACCTGTTCAAGCTCAACTCTGCCTGCACATTCGTTTCAGTAATACCAACTACTTATGTGCGGCCGTGGTGCACCATTTTCATGTTGCTGTTCAGGTTCTAATGACATTGTTCAGCTTGACTAGCCTGAGCTACTTAGACAAGGATGAAGAAATTGTCTTTGTTATATATAATACAATAATTAAAAAACAAAAACAAAAACTCATCGAAAACATATTGTAACACAGCATTAATCACACAACTCCAGTTTATTTTGTTGTCACTTTTTACAGCTGAAATAGCCACCTGATTGGATAGGGTTAGCCACCCTGTGCAAGACTGTGATTGGTTGGTTTTGTGGCACATTCGTAGTGCTGTGCCAAGTCGAACGAACGTGCAGGCAGAGTTGAGCTGTAACAGATCATCAGTGTTGAGCGTGAGCAAGAAAGACATCACGAGTGAGCGTGAATGTGTAGTTGAGTGCACAGAATGGAGATCTGTGGGAGCAAAACCGAGTTAAAGGCAGCATGATGGTCCACATATGTTGATAGTTGCAAACACAGCAGTAATAGTTTTGAGCGCAGAATGGATTTTTGTTTGCTTACGATAAGCTTTTATTTGCTCAAGACTTTTTTCTGCGCTCAAAATTTCCCATTGTGTGCTCGCTCAGGATTGTGGCACAAATATTATTCCATAGAGGAGAGCTTAGATTACCTGTGAAGTGATGCTGACTAAACTGACTGTTTGCTTTAAAATAATTGTGTTCATTTGTTCAATTCATTCGTCTAATGAGAAAACAGCTGGTCAGAAAGTTTCACGGGCTGATATAATGGGGCAAAGGAGCTATCTAGGACTATCAAATTCTACTGTTACCTAACATCCTCGCTTAATCGCCAAAGTACCAAATATTTCTGTGATTTCCTCCAAGTCTAGCTTGACTGCAGTTGCTTTGACACTGCTGCTGATCAACTCTTGCCTTTTATCCCAATAGCCCCTGTTTTCATATAATTGTCAAGTGGCCTCTGACTAGATGGACAGAACCCGACCCCTAAATACCTCAAAGAAGAAGAACAGAACTTTTGGCTATTTATATGAAAAAAATGGAGCGAAGTGTTTAGAAAATGGTTTTCATTGGGAAAGCTGTACTTTAAAGGTGAAGACAACAAAAAAGTGAAACAATTGAATGGATAATGAGAGCTTAAACCTTTGTCAAAAAGGTTTTGATCGTTTCTATCACCCATGTAGACATTACATCTTCTAACATGACACTTCAAAATGCACATTAAAATACTTTATGGAAACACAGCAACTGATGTTTATATCTTTATGGTATGTGAAACAGAAAATTGCACCCTATTCATTTTGACATTTCCATTTCTTCTAAATAAATCACAAAGGTGAATTTTGAATCTGTTTCCTTAAAAAGAAACTGCATGCAGCTGTGTGGGTTGTTAGCTTACAGAGCAGAACACGCAGTTTGACTGTACTGTGATTTCTTGTATAAAACAGTACTTAAAGTTAATGTTAGGTAGGGCTTTCTGGAGTCCAAACATTTCTCTGTGACAAAACACAGAGCAGAATAATTGAGGGAAATTTCAGAACGTTGGTGCCGCAGAGTATCACATGTGAAAGCAGAACTGTTCACTGTACAATGTGTTCTCAGCCTCTGAAACATGAGCCTCCATGCAGCCACCATCTCAGGACGCTGACAGGCGAAATACAAAACCCACAAGTCACTGGGTTCTCCTGTGTAGAAGGCGGCTGCTGCTCAGACTAACAGGCAATTACAGTTACAATATATTCAACTGGACATGTTAATACTAACTGCTGTTTATATTAGTGCATGTTAATGAACACATTGGACCAAACATGGATTGGAAAATAAGATATGATGAACATCACAGCACACAGTCTCTGAGACTCACAAACTAAGCTACAAGGTTTCAGTTTTGTCTGAACTTTCTGTTGTTTGGGACAATAGCAACAGAAACAAAAGTGAAACTGGCAGTGACAGCTGATACACAGTTAAAATAGAAGAAGAAGAGAGAAAAGAGGAGTTGGTTGCTGTCACTGGTTGTTACTTACATGCAGAGAGGCCGTTCAGTAGGAGAAAGCGAGAGAGATGAACAGGAGGGGTCATAACATGGTTCGGTTACAACAGCAGAAATACACAATGTTACACACAAACAGCAAGATACAACAGCTGGGCAGCTGTGCAGTACTACACAGTGCCGACAGTGGAGATGGAAATAGACAAAATGCTGTTGTTGTTGCTGTTAGAAGGCATATTCACAGTGGCTGGTGATATGTCACAGTGTGAGACGTGGTATGTGGAGGCTGCTGATGGTAATTAACACGACAAAACTGGAGGCCGACAGAACAGTTAAAGTTGAAGACTTTCAGGGCATAAAAGTCATCACTTCTTGGGAATGTAACACTGTTTTCCAGGAAAAAAAGATTGATTTGTGTAAGGGATGCTTAATCAGCAGATAATAAAACATTTTACTGATTCTAACTGTACAGTTTGATATTATAGATTATTAGATTATGTCTTCTTCTTTTACCTGTTTGAACACATTCAAATTTTGACCTGCAATAATTACTAAGGCCTGATTTGATTTGACAATTTTCAATGATTCCAATATGATTTCTCAACTTCTGGAACTGAACAATGCTTATGTATGTCTGGTTTAATATTGTTAAAGCACCTGCATGGTTTCTGTTTACCAATTTTCTTCTTTGTTCAGAGTGAACCAATAATACTTTGCCACAGAGCTACTCTTCCATTTTATCATAAATCAGAGCTGTAACTATAACTACAAGTTTTGTTACAAGTTACAGTTTTGTTTTGTGTTTAACGTTTCACAGGTGCACTCTAGAAGCATAAATTCTACGTCTATGCAGATACTTTTTCTTTAACTCTAATTAGAATTCCTGGGAAGTAACAAGAAACTAAATGTGTCAAACATGAACTATGTGTGTTCTAATTGATTCAGCGATTGCATTTATTATTTCAGTTTAAATACGACATGCTTAAATACAGTTGATTCCGGTGTTGATGCATTCACGACTGTTCTGTGTTACATGCTGTAGAGTATTCAAACAATGCAGATTCAAAGGAAAGGTTCACAGTGCTTCTGGCTTAACACAGTGGTCATGTGCCCAAACTGACACTTAAATAGGTTTTGGTTGTTTGTAATCATTCCTTCTGTTCACACTGCTCATTAAAACCCTTTAGAGTAGCTTCAGATCAACTTCAGAATACATTTTTGCACAACTTAAATACTTCTTCTTCATCTCTCCTAGTGTCCAGTTAGAATAGGAGGAATCATATCAGCATAAGAAAAAACTGCCTCAAAGGTCTTACAGACACCAACCTGAAAAACTGTGAACGCGTCCTTTAAATGGACACCGACAGATGTGTCAGCTGGGTGTTGAGGCTCATGGGTTTGACAGATATGAAGTGGATATTCAGATACACACACACACACACACACACTCAAACATACTGTATACACACACACAGACACACAACCTTTAGCCTACTCTGTCACATCAGCAGCGCAGCATATCTCATCTTTCTCATCCCATAATCCTCTGAGATGAACTGCACGCACAAATGTGACATACAACAAAGCACTAAGTAACAGTACACACCCAGTACTCCTCTTTCACTTCACTCTTAGATCAGTTTATAGAAAACCAGGAAATGGTTTATAAATCAGAACAAGCTCACAGCTGCAATATGACTGTGAATCTCTGCTGCTAATTTGGAATAAAGTCTAACGTATAGATTTACTTTGGCTCCTGCGTAAACTCTGCTGCCAAGTTCACAAACATGTGATGAGACACCTGCTGCACAAACTGTACAGGAGGTGTGACGCTCAAGAGTTCATGAGTACAGATACCCGAGACCTTGTTTCATCTCCATCCTGCTTTACTGTAAACTCCAGAGATCACAGGATCACAGTAATCTGTTTGTTGTTTCATGAAACATAATCCAAGATATAGAAAAGAAGTTTCTTGTCTGTGACTATTTAGTTTTCACTCCTGAAAAATCTCGATCTGGAAAGCACAAAATACCCTTTTGCTTGAATTGTGACGTTAATTATTTGTTTGATTAGCTGAGTGACAAAAATGATAATGATATATGAATAGTAAATTACATGATTAATATACTAAACTGTTAATCTTTAAAACAGCATTATAATTAGTAACTTCTGTGAAAAATGCAAATATTTCAAATGCTCTTTAAACTGGATATTTGTGGCTTTTCCACTGTTGGTTGGAAACATTTTAACATTTTAAGTGAGGAAGAACTACTCTAGATTTTGCCAGATATCCAGGGTACGAATATTTTCCAGCTTGCACATAATTTTCCTACCTCATTACAGACAAAATCAGGTTTATCCTGTAGTGGAAATAACATATTACTAGCACCACTGGCAGGTGCAGACATAAAAAACAATGCTTTTCAAATGTAGACATTCACTGGGTAAAACAAAAAAATAGCTTTCATGTACATGTCATATTTAATTGTACGTAACATTTTCAAACTACACTGTGAACTTTTGGCCTGACAGGCATCATCTGCCTGTTAACGTCCATTAAGGGCTGGTAAGGTTATTTCATTTTTAACCCTTATTAGCCAATATCAGTGATCTTCTATAATTTTAGGGGCTCTGAGAACTTGTGAGGCTTTGTGCTGTCTGTTGACATTCAACGAACAATTAACTAATTTATCACAAATATAAACCCCCATTAGTTGCAGACCTACTCAAAACTCAGCTGTTGGTGGATCACAAGTAACTACTGGTTCATAATAACGCTTTATGTGGGTCTTTTATTGCCTCTCTCACACCTAAGTAAGCAGTTATCAAGTGTTCACATGCATTCAGTTCTGCAAAATCGACAAAAGGCTGTTATTCTCTGCAAATCAGCAGTTTAAAAAAACAATACAAAATGATAATGCACCGTAAAATAGTTTCTACAGACTAAAAATGCAAAGAGTAAAGCTACAGCTTGTCATAACTCTCCAGCTTTACCTAATAAACCTGACAGAAAACCTGCCTCTGTCTCAGCACTGACCTTTACCCCCGCCGCTGCCTCCTCTGTGAACTCTACAGTCACAACTCTGCTCACAATCACACGTGAGGATTTTCTGCCCCCCAGCTCAGCCTGGTCACACAGCCAGACACATGGTTGTGATACTCGAGCCGAGAATCTACTGTATGTGCTTCATCAGTGTCCAGACGCAACTAAACATATCCGCTGCTGATGCTTCTCCTGCACATCTTTAGTCAACGCTGCGCGTTTACAGATGAGACAACTGATCAGATACTTTGCCAAAAAAGCACACAGGCACATCCACTACAGCAACTTAAAACTATGCCTGAAAATGCAGAGATCTGCTGGATCAAACCTGGCATCTGTATCCATGAGCTGCCTACATTTCCCTAAATCGCCTCTCAGCTCGGATAAGATTTCTGCTACACTGGCAGCTTTTCCTGTCACTCCTGGCTGCGATAAATGCCACAAGATCCGGTTACATACAAGTTCCACCTACACAAACACATGGTCTGACACGCACACTCACACTTGAGTAAATATTACGTAAAACACATGCACGTGCAGCAGGGAGTGATGAGACGAAGCAACACTGAGATGTCTGCAGCTTGTTTTGTGTGCACATTAGGGCTGCAGCTATCAACTATTTTAATAATCGAGTATTCTATCGATTATTCGGGCAATTAATCAAGTAATCAGATTCAAACAAAAAATAACTTCATTAAATTACTTAAGTTTAATTTAAAAGCAATACATGACAGAGAAAACGCTCACTGTTTTCATCTCTGACTGTCTCTGTTTCCATTTTGCATTCTGCGTTTGGTTGCGCGTTGCGGCATCAAACGTGGAAGTCAGTGCGCTGTGCAACAGAAATAACCGTCCAGGCGGTACATGGGCGGACAAGTGTATGCATTGTATAGTATAGTATAGTATAGTATAGTATAGTATAGTATAGTATGTAAGGGATTAAATGAAGCCACAAGGCAGAGAATTTTGCCTCGAGGTATTCTAGTAATCAAATTACTCGAGGAATCGTTTCAGCCCTAATGCACATGCTGGGAATGCAGATGTAAATGAGTGTGAATTTTGTTACCTGCGTTGTGCTTTGCCAAATACTTGTCTTTGTACTGCTTCTTCTTCTTGCCAAACCAGGTGCAGCTGGCCTGCTGCTCCTGCTTGGTCTTCTCCATGGCTATGCACGCCACTCGCCTACAACACAAACACACAAACAGTGTTGGATTTTAGTTGTGGAGAAAAAGAATCTGTAACATCAGCCATGCTTCCACTGCAGGAACTCTCTCCAGGGATTAAGAATCTTCTGATTAAACTTAAATTTTAAATCATTCTAGACAACTTATATTTGTGTTTTTTCCCCCCTCCTATAGTTTCAACTGCATTTACATGGTTTATAGTTGATTTCACAATATAAGACTTTTAAAAATATATATATTATTGTAATACTTTCTACTTATGGAAGAATCTGCATTACCATTGTTTTTCTACTCATAGTGCAAAATGTTATTTTCCCTATTTGAAGGAATGTGTGCAAAATCAAAATGTTCTACATATAGAAGAATCTGTACAGTGTCAACAGTATTTTTTCTTTTCTTTTTCTGCCCTGGTATTGTTTACCCCTTTATGAATGAAACACTGCACTTCTCTCCACTATGGGATTAATTAATGCTCATCTTATCTTTATATTATTAATCATAAAAAGGTCAGAATAAAGATTATTGACAGATTAACTGACAGTGAAACTAATTAGGGATTTCCTGATCAAGTTTTTGCACCTTATCCGGTTGTTCAATTTTAGATTTAAAATCGGCCAATGACTCATATCACTTTCTTAGATACGATGCACTTTATGTAGTGTTGATAACATTATAAACTTATTGGATTGCAGTTTCACATAGATTTCGGTACACTGTCTAACTTGCAATATATATATTTGTTAGCTAGTTTCTGTAGACCTTCATGAATACATTTATTCGCAACAGAAATGTTACTAATACGATTTTTTGCAAGTTAGTGAGCAGGAGTGTGTCTGAAATTCTTCAACATTTTTTATTTAATTTTTAACTTCACTCTTACTGTTTGATACTTTTGCAGCCAGAGGAGGTGGGAAATTCCCTGTTGGTATGCAGAGAGCATTGTGGGGGCTTAGCTAACAAAAGGACACCATGACAAAGTCTATTATGCTGCTTTATGACCTCTGGCCAGCACACATGTTAAATCAAGCTGGAATCAACTGTGATAGCATTTCTATATCCCAGTGGCATACAAAAGAGCCAAGAACATCACATTATGCTTTGAAACATTGATTGACACAATTTTCTGACATTTTCTAAACCAAACAACGAATCAAGTGATTGAAAAAATAAAATAATAAATCAACAATGAAGAAAAAGACCAGGGACTGGTGGAAACATGGCTTGTGTCTTGAGCTATCATCCATCTTTATGTTTGTGTCTCACCACTCCTGCAGCTCAGGTGATGGGATGAGGCCTGCTGTGCCATTTTTAGTGTTCTCCAGTTTGCCCTGCCACCAGTTGTGGTCATCCTTGGATATGATCTGGATGATGTCGCCCACACGGAAGCGAATGCCGGCCTCCTTGCAGGGGATGAGCTCGTCTTTGGAGGGGTCGTACTCAAACTGGGCCCTCACGTAGATCTGTGGTTAAAATCGCAGACATTATAAATGTGAGCTGACTGAGCGATGAGGGGTTTGGACAGGCAGTGCTGAGTCAAAAAGTGGATGATGTGAGTGTTGGCAGAGGCGCAGAGAAATGGAAAGAAAGATAAATGTGGCTTGATGGTGTTCATAACATGACAGCGAGGTCTGAAGTAATGAGCAGTGGATTCTCAAGGGGCGTGAGGGGGTTTACTGTTGCCACGTTGGAAACTAGTTTCCAAGGAAGGGCGTTTTGCAGCAAGATAAACCCAGACACTGCAAGGCTATTAATGAGCCTCTCAACACTCTGGCAATTACGGCACAGGCATTGTTTACGGGTCCATTAGATCAAAACAACAGTCATTATCCTGCTTTAAAACATTTTAACCACACAGCTGCTTGTTGCACTCTGTGTTAAAAACAGCTGGAACAAGTGTTCGGGACAAATGTGTACAGGGAGTTACTTGCTTTCTACTATTTTTTTTTAATTTATGGAGAAAGTGGGGGAAAAGGCTGTCTCTTACCTTAACAGACATTTTGTCCTTGATTGGAGGTCTGGATACAATCTAGGATTTGAAAGCATCACACACATCATGCAGCAAAATGGCTATGCAATGTCTAAACAGTAGGGGCCGAGGCTGGTGGAGGGGAGGGCGGTCAGGAGGGGGCATGGTGGTGAGACAGGACAAGGGTGAGGCACAGCTCCTCGTACGGAGGGACAGAAAGTCAGCTTTCCCTCGTAACACTTGTCAACATGTAAACTATGAGACGATTCAGTGGCACTGAGTAGCTCGACAGCACTGAGGCTCTACTGCCCCCTGCTGGTGCATTTACAAGATCAAAGATGCTTTCAGTTCATCTCTCAGCAGAGTTATTCCATCTCAAATCATCAAAGGCCTTCTGCTCCATCATCTCTGATTTGCTAGAAACATTACTATAAAGTACAGATATTAAAAATGCTATCTATGAAATTTTAGATTATTCTGTACTTTCCTAGATGTTTTCTTTCTTTCTTTTCTTAAAAACATTTTGAAACTCCATAACTCTATTCTACCTAGATTATACTATTTACCAATACTTTTATTTCTGTTGAAAAGCTTGTCTTACCTGCTTAATGAGTCATGAAAGAACAAAATTATTATTATCATTATTATTATTTTGTCATTTCAGTAATCAAGTATTTCATGTGAAGAAGCATTCTACATGTGGAGTTTTGTATTATTGAGACATGCAGCTACATGTGGTTCAGAAAATATCAGTAGTTCACTTTTACATTATCATGAACGCTACAACATTTTTTCATATTTCAGTGCGCCTATAATCAAAGATGTTTGATCTACTTGTCCAATATTTCTGCAATATTGTCATGCTGAGACAAAGCAGTAAAAACTCATTCATTCAAGTCATTCAAACCTTCATATTTCAATGTGTGAAAAAACCTGAAAGTGGATCGACGGGTGATAAAAAAAAAAAAAAAAACTAACAAAAAAAACTTTATCTTGAAAAGTATTTATATACAGATTTGACATACTGTAAATCTTTATAAATATCCATACTTTATGCAATAAAGCCTATAAAATCAGAGATCAAGCAGAAATTGTTCTAAAATTGTGATGATTTAAGATGGAAGGACCCAGCAGTGAAGGGTAAGACAGCATGATTTTGGATGGATGGATGGATGTTGGATTATCTCAGAGGAAATAAATCAATGGGAGGTGAACACGCACAGCGACACTGACGGCTGTGATGAAATGGCTGTTAAGGGAGATTGTTAATGCTGACACAACGTTTTAGTTTGCTTTTTGTAGATGCTGCTTTTCTCACAGCTGTTTAACCATCATATCTTTACTGCAGTACATGTGTATGTGACCGTGGTGGCTCTGCAGGGTTCAACAATGCCTGTGCCATTGTTACCAAACATACAGTTAAACAGAAGGTAGTGAAGTGCTGTTAGTGGTCAAGAAGAAAAAAACAAGTCGAGGTCTTCCCAGGTTTTCTTGGGGTCTGGCTGGATAAACATCTAACTAAACTGGGTCAAAGTTGTATTTTGTTCTGTGACTTGTAGAAAATTGTGTCTGTATGTTTAAAACTGGGGTTTTGCAATGAAGCTGAAAAATGTACTATAATAAAATGTTGTAATTTCTGCCAATATTAAAAATCATGGTCAATTTTTACAAATCTGTTTTTATTAAAGAATTTGAATTTAGCCACTTTAGTCTATACACACTGATTCATTTTAATGCTGACACAGCAATGAAAGGGGTCTGGTTTCAGATGGCAAATACAGATCTGTGGAGACCTCTACATGAGTTTTTAAACATGAGTGACCACTACAGTGTGGTATTTGTGTCCAGAATGTGGATGTGTTTTGTTCGTGGAGGGGAGGTGTGGTTGTTAGAGAGTACAGATGAAGGATCACCAAGAAGTGTGTGTTGTAGGTGACACAGTTAGTCTGGATTTCTGGCTTCCTTCTTAAAATGGAAATACACAAACTGATAAATTTGACTGTTTTCCTCTTGGACTCAAATGGAAGCATTATGTTCTCCAAATCAATAAAATCTAATTTAGCTGAACACCCTCAAAACAAAGCTTAATTTGAATCCAGATGCATTGCATCTGCTGGAGCAGCAGACACAGTGCATTTGGTCTGATAAAAGCTGAGCAGCTGCAGCCTGTTCTGCTGGAAATTACAGAATTAAACGTAATGCTTTTTGGATTGGGATCAGAAATGTTCCTTACTGTGAAGAAATCTCACCAGAGACCAGAACAACAGTAAACTGATCCTATTAACAAGTTGTGTCTGTATCCAAAGCCTGATGTAGCTTTTGCACCGTGGAGCTGGGCTGGGTGACATGTTTCTTAAAATACTATCCCTGTGGTTTATTTGGAAACAGAATAATAACATCGATCACTGTAATGCTCTCTGGAGAGTCGTTTCTGTAAAGTGTTAAAGGCTGAAAGTGATTTATTTTATTTTATTGGTTATTTTTGCTGGGACACGATTAAAAGTAATTGCAGCAGAGAAAGCCGGCAGCTAATTTACATCTATTCTCCCTGGACAGGTAGACGAAACACAACCACAGAACTACGCTACACAAAACAACAAGTCTATCATAATAAATATAGAAAGTGCAATAAATACAAGGCTATCATTGGTGGTGACACTTGAGCTTGAGGCTCGCTGTAATCTCTGCAAAGCTTCCTCAGTCTCTAATATTAGTAGCTATGGAATTCCACCATCCCACTGCTTTAACTATGAAACCCGATTTAGAGAATGCTGTCTATCTGAACTGCACTCACCCCTTGTAGATGCTATAATTTTACCAGAACAGACACAGTCCTGATATTCTCTAAGATTAGAGGCTGCAAGATTATGAGTAAAGGAAAACTGAATGGAGAAAATGATATTTTTTCATTAATACGTTTATATAGCGTATCCACACCTGCCTGTGACTCAGCAGTAAAGACAGACGGAAAATTGGTCACATCATGAGTGATGGCCAGTCAAACAAAACAACTGGACTTAATCCTCTGAACCCTTGTTTGATTTGACCCTGTTATATTTTCCGTCACTGTGGGTTCATTTTTCCCTGCAATATAAAATCATGCACCTCTATGGAAACAACACAACGGCTAGAAGTAGAGTATTTGGCTATCGTTAATCTTTAAGGGTAAAGAATTTAGAAATGTATTTTGTGCAGGATGACACAGTTATAATACCATAAATATTAACAAAAAAATAAAATCAAATATCCGTGATTATTCATTTACAAAAAAAGTGACATTTCTATACTATATATATATATTTTTTGCCACTACTCTTGTGCACTATGGCAAAGTAATGCCTCAAATCCTAAAAAAAAAAAGAAAAGAACTAAAGTTGAATGTGTTTATTTACACACTACTAAAATTGAAAAAACTTAAAATTAACAACATTTTTCCAAGTGCCCACAGGTTTTACCAATACTGGGAAAAAATGGTGGCTCTACATACTATTGGTATTGCAATATTTTTTCTACCTTTGCAAAGTTTTTCTCTGTAACCCTGCACATCAGCTCTAGAAAGATGTTTCACCAGGCTAAATGTATTTCCTGACAACTTGCTCCTTTCTATACTGTTTTTAAGCCATGCTGCATTTATTTATTTACTGCTTAAGTATGTTTTACTTTCCTTTCAGTCTTCCTCATTTGTTTTCACACTTCCAACCTCTCTACTCTGTGTAAACACTGCCTGCAGTGTAGCTAAAAAATAAGAAATTTTCTTATGTGACCGTTCGTGCAGAATTGTTTGTTTTTAACTAAATTAGTTTCATGCAAATGGTGTATTATTTGCCAATTTTTTAAATGAAGCATTCAGAATAAAGTGATTTCTATTACATATCACAATTTTAAGCTTAGATTTGGTTGTTTTTCACAATGGAATCAAAAGTGACGCATGATGCGTTCAAGGATCGTCAGGTAGTTAAAAATTTAATGATTCTTTCTGTTTTTACAGTTTGTAGCTCTAGGAAGTGATGTCACGTTGGTGATTTTTAAAATGACTTTTAACTGCATTTAAATTAAACTAATGAGTATTGTGAAGCAGAAAACAGGTTTGGAGGAAAAATAGACACACACTTTAGTGTAAAGGGGAGGGATGCAAGCAGTGTACAAGGAGCTAGTGAGCACAGGTGAGTGACTTAGTTACCTGTCGACCTTTAGGCTGGATGGTGGATGGCAGGTCCTGTGGAGGTAAACCATTGACAGAAAATCATGGTTAAGCAAGATACAAACGTTAAAATATAACACAAAGAACACAAAACTTTTGCATGCACATTTCTTAGCGGTCTAACTATTGCTGGTGAGAGAAAAAAAAAGACAAAAGAGGAGAGAAGAAAGTGGAAATCTCATCTGTTAAAGCACATCTGGCTGTGGAGCAACCAAGCAAGCACAGAGCAAGCGAAGCAGCTGCAGCATCAGTGCGACCACAGTGTCAGTCGGAAGCCTTAGCAGGAAATAAAGAAGCTGCAAAACCTGATGAGGTTTAGTGTGATGCAGAGTGGGAGCGTTTAGCGTGTCTCCCTGCAGCATCGTGACCACTTGAGGCCTAGTGTTGTGTCAGCAGCACAGTATGCAGCAGCTTTAAGAGGCACACCAATTTGTTAACTGAGATATCGGACACAGGGGCCTTTGGCTCAAACAGATGAACAGGGAGGATGATCAACCTGCGGTGACCCGCCTACTTCTAATCCTACTGACACCATCACAACGCAAAATGAAACAGACACAACTCAGGATGAGTGTCCATCTGCATGGACTGACACATGTAAAAATACCAAGACACATCGGTGTGACACATGAGACGCACCGGAAGGCCAAGAGGAGACAGAAAATGTTATGGGTCTGTTGTTGGGGGGTTTCTGAGGGTCCTTACCAAGATAGAACTGTTAATGCTGGAGTGGCCATTAGCAGGGGACTGCCTGGAGGTGGTGGGGGACTCTTTCTGAAATAAGACATACAAGTCAGCAGCGCACAACCAGCATGCGCACACACACACACGCACACACACACACACACACACACACGCATACACACACAGACACACACACACTCCTGTAAGCAATGGAGGGGGTGTGTGTGCAGAACACATTAGAGACCAACCACAGCGCTGACGTAATGAAATGAGTCAACAAGACATGGGAGACGGCCTCGCCAGCAGCCTGCACGTCCTCACCTCACCACAGGGGGGCGCTATGCTAACACGATCTGAGCAGCTGAAACTATGAGGTCATCACTAACAGACTGCCAAAGACACAACTAAAGGGGTCTGCTGGAGTGTGCTGGACGACCAAAGGAGCTGGAATCAGAGGTAAATAAACACTACATGGTTGTAAAGGAACTGCAATGATAACTATGGAAATAAGGAGGACATGCAGCAAAGGAGAACTGAAGTATGAAGTTTTTGCAGAGATAAATGAGTAAAAACAGCTTTAAAATAAACTACTAACTTTTAAGTGTATAAAGTGATTATTCAAAATCCTTCAAATTATGGAAAACAGAAGTTTGTGAACTATGCAGTTATATTGGTCGTCCTTTGTGAGCTGAATCGAAGCAGAGTTGTGGTTTGCATGTTTTCTTTTCAACATAAAGGAGCCTAAATAGAGACGACTGCACCAACCACATCATACCAAGTTTAGACTCTGCACTGTGTTTTTTCAATCCATCCTAAAATAATCTAATTACATGTAAGGTTTTCATGGTCAGGTACCAGACTGTATGAGTCAATTCCCTTCTGTCCTTAAAGGCCTTTTAGATCTGCAGGCTTCTTCTAGCTGCTCCACAGTCCACTCAGTAGAGTCCAGTCACTGTTATTCACATTCAGGTGAAAAATGAGCCCACAGTGAATAAAAAAACATATAGCAATTGCCTGGGATTCAGAGGGTTACATTATTAAAGATAAGAACCTTAAGGCATATATATACACACTGAATACAAATTCACCGGACCAAATAAATAATAATAATAAATTACAGTCGTGACTCGATAATCTGACACTAAATGTAAAACCTTCATTTATATCAGATAGCAAGGCTGTCGGATTGTCAAGACGGAGGTTGAGATACAAGGAGGGCTTGATGCTTGAAGGGTCATTTGTTGTTAATATTCATTGTTTATAGTTGTTATAATAACTAGTGTATTGTTAGAACACTACGCATCACTGGATTTCACGCCTAACTGACCAGTGCGCTTGTGCACGGGCCCGCCGGTTGACATCAAAGGTAAGTAAATCTGTCGGACTGTTAAGTCAGATAATATGCCGTTATCCTTATTTGTGACATAAACTGTCATGTCGGAGTCGGAATCCAAGGCTGTCGATATGTTAAGGTTATTTTCTATGGATTTCGTTCGTTTTTCCTAAAAACCTGTCAGATAGCAAGGTTTTCGGATTGTCAAGGGGGTTGAATGTCAAGTCACGACGGTATATATTAAAATAAGGTTATATACAGGGGTTTGCAAAACACCATGAAGAAACAAAGGTTAGAGTCAAGGACCTTCACACTTTCAATAAATAAATTAATACCATTTATAATTTTAGTCTACGATTAACTTCCATGCATATAATTGCACTTAATACTGTTTATTTACCCTTTATTTGATTTTACATCTTTTGGTTGCAAAACCAACAGATCTGTAGGTTATGAGGCTCTGCTTGTTTTTGTTTTGCTTGACTTACGACCAAACTTTGCCAACACGTGTACTTTAGTGTTTGGCTTCCGCAACTAATTGCACAACATTAATGTTAAATATGCTCATTGAAATACGGTCATTCTAGAAGTTCAGCAAATAAAGAAATATACGAAATATANTTCTACATATAGAAGAATCTGTACAGTGTCAACAGTATTTTTTCTTTTCTTTTTCTGCCCTGGTATTGTTTACCCCTTTATGGATGAAACACTGCACTTTTCTCCACTATGGGATTAATTAATGCTCATCTTATCTTTATATTATTAATCATAAAAAGGTCAGAATAAAGATAATTGACAGATTAACTGACAGTGAAACTAATTAGGGATTTCCTGATCAAGTTTTTGCACCTTATCCGGTTGTTCAATTTTAGATTTAAAATCTGCAGATGACTCATATCACTTTCTTAGATACGATGCACTTTATGTAGTGTTGATAACATTATAAACTTATTGGATTGCAGATTCACATAGATTTTGGTACACTGTCTAACTTGCAATATATATATTTGTTAGCTAGTTTCTGTAGACCTTCATGAATACATTTATTCGCAACAGAAATGTTACTAATACGATTTTTTGCAAGTTAGTGAGCAGGAGTGTGTCTGAAATTCTTCAACATTTTTTATTTAATTTTTAACTTCACTCTTACTGTTTGATACTTTTGCAGCCAGAGGAGGTGGGAAATTCCCTGTTGGTATGCAGAGAGCATTGTGGGGGCTCAGCTAACAAAAGGACACCAAGACAAAGTCTATTATGCTGCTTTATGACCTCTGGCCAGCACACATGTTAAATCAAGCTGGAATCAACTGGCATAGCATTTCTATATCCCAGTGGCTTACAAAAGAGCCAAGAACATCACATTATGCTTTGAAACACTGATTGACACAATTTTCTGACATTTTCTAAACCAAACAACGAATCAAGTGATTGAAAAAATAAAACAATAAATCAACAATGAAGAAAAAGACCAGGGACTGGTGGAAACATGGCTTGTGTCTTGAGCTATCATCCATCTTTATGTTTGTGTCTCACCACTCCTGCAGCTCAGGTGATGGGATGAGGCCTGCTGTGCCATTTTTAGTGTTCTCCAGTTTGCCCTGCCACCAGTTGTGGTCATCCTTGGATATGATCTGGATGATGTCGCCCACACGGAAGCGAATGCCGGCCTCCTTGCAGGGGATGAGCTCGTCTTTGGAGGGGTCGTACTCAAACTGGGCCCTCACGTAGATCTGTGGTTAAAATCGCAGACATTATAAATGTGAGCTGACTGAGCGATGAGGGGTTTGGACAGGCAGTGCTGAGTCAAAAAGTGGATGATGTGAGTGTTGGCAGAGGCGCAGAGAAATGGAAAGAAAGATAAATGTGGCTTGATGGTGTTCATAACATGACAGCGAGGTCTGAAGTAATGAGCAGTGGATTCTCAAGGGGCGTGAGGGGGTTTACTGTTGCCACGTTGGAAACTAGTTTCCAAGGAAGGGCGTTTTGCAGCAAGATAAACCCAGACACTGCAAGGCTATTAATGAGCCTCTCAACACTCTGGCAATTACGGCACAGGCATTGTTTACGGGTCCATTAGATCAAAACAACAGTCATTATCCTGCTTTAAAACATTTTAACCACACAGCTGCTTGTTGCACTCTGTGTTAAAAACAGCTGGAACAAGTGTTCGGGACAAATGTGTACAGGGAGTTACTTGCTTTCTACTATTTTTTTTTAATTTATGGAGAAAGTGGGGGAAAAGGCTGTCTCTTACCTTAACAGACATTTTGTCCTTGATTGGAGGTCTGGATACAATCTAGGATTTGAAAGCATCACACACATCATGCAGCAAAATGGCTATGCAATGTCTAAACAGTAGGGGCCGAGGCTGGTGGAGGGGAGGGCGGTCAGGAGGGGGCATGGTGGTGAGACAGGACAAGGGTGAGGCACAGCTCCTCGTACGGAGGGACAGAAAGTCAGCTTTCCCTCGTAACACTTGTCAACATGTAAACTATGAGACGATTCAGTGGCACTGAGTAGCTCGACAGCACTGAGGCTCTACTGCCCCCTGCTGGTGCATTTACAAGATCAAAGATGCTTTCAGTTCATCTCTCAGCAGAGTTATTCCATCTCAAATCATCAAAGGCCTTCTGCTCCATCATCTCTGATTTGCTAGAAACATTACTATAAAGTACAGATATTAAAAATGCTATCTATGAAATTTTAGATTATTCTGTACTTTCCTAGATGTTTTCTTTCTTTCTTTTCTTAAAAACATTTTGAAACTCCATAACTCTATTCTACCTAGATTATACTATTTACCAATACTTTTATTTCTGTTGAAAAGCTTGTCTTACCTGCTTAATGAGTCATGAAAGAACAAAATTATTATTATCATTATTATTATTTTGTCATTTCAGTAATCAAGTATTTCATGTGAAGAAGCATTCTACATGTGGAGTTTTGTATTATTGAGACATGCAGCTACATGTGGTTCAGAAAATATCAGTAGTTCACTTTTACATTATCATGAACGCTACAACATTTTTTCATATTTCAGTGCGCCTATAATCAAAGATGTTTGATCTACTTGTCCAATATTTCTGCAATATTGTCATGCTGAGACAAAGCAGTAAAAACTCATTCATTCAAGTCATTCAAACCTTCATATTTCAATGTGTGAAAAAACCTGAAAGTGGATCGACGGGTGATAAAAAAAAAAAAAAAAACTAACAAAAAAAACTTTATCTTGAAAAGTATTTATATACAGATTTGACATACTGTAAATCTTTATAAATATCCATACTTTATGCAATAAAGCCTATAAAATCAGAGATCAAGCAGAAATTGTTCTAAAATTGTGATGATTTAAGATGGAAGGACCCAGCAGTGAAGGGTAAGACAGCATGATTTTGGATGGATGGATGGATGTTGGATTATCTCAGAGGAAATAAATCAATGGGAGGTGAACACGCACAGCGACACTGACGGCTGTGATGAAATGGCTGTTAAGGGAGATTGTTAATGCTGACACAACGTTTTAGTTTGCTTTTTGTAGATGCTGCTTTTCTCACAGCTGTTTAACCATCATATCTTTACTGCAGTACATGTGTATGTGACCGTGGTGGCTCTGCAGGGTTCAACAATGCCTGTGCCATTGTTACCAAACATACAGTTAAACAGAAGGTAGTGAAGTGCTGTTAGTGGTCAAGAAGAAAAAAACAAGTCGAGGTCTTCCCAGGTTTTCTTGGGGTCTGGCTGGATAAACATCTAACTAAACTGGGTCAAAGTTGTATTTTGTTCTGTGACTTGTAGAAAATTGTGTCTGTATGTTTAAAACTGGGGTTTTGCAATGAAGCTGAAAAATGTACTATAATAAAATGTTGTAATTTCTGCCAATATTAAAAATCATGGTCAATTTTTACAAATCTGTTTTTATTAAAGAATTTGAATTTAGCCACTTTAGTCTATACACACTGATTCATTTTAATGCTGACACAGCAATGAAAGGGGTCTGGTTTCAGATGGCAAATACAGATCTGTGGAGACCTCTACATGAGTTTTTAAACATGAGTGACCACTACAGTGTGGTATTTGTGTCCAGAATGTGGATGTGTTTTGTTCGTGGAGGGGAGGTGTGGTTGTTAGAGAGTACAGATGAAGGATCACCAAGAAGTGTGTGTTGTAGGTGACACAGTTAGTCTGGATTTCTGGCTTCCTTCTTAAAATGGAAATACACAAACTGATAAATTTGACTGTTTTCCTCTTGGACTCAAATGGAAGCATTATGTTCTCCAAATCAATAAAATCTAATTTAGCTGAACACCCTCAAAACAAAGCTTAATTTGAATCCAGATGCATTGCATCTGCTGGAGCAGCAGACACAGTGCATTTGGTCTGATAAAAGCTGAGCAGCTGCAGCCTGTTCTGCTGGAAATTACAGAATTAAACGTAATGCTTTTTGGATTGGGATCAGAAATGTTCCTTACTGTGAAGAAATCTCACCAGAGACCAGAACAACAGTAAACTGATCCTATTAACAAGTTGTGTCTGTATCCAAAGCCTGATGTAGCTTTTGCACCGTGGAGCTGGGCTGGGTGACATGTTTCTTAAAATACTATCCCTGTGGTTTATTTGGAAACAGAATAATAACATCGATCACTGTAATGCTCTCTGGAGAGTCGTTTCTGTAAAGTGTTAAAGGCTGAAAGTGATTTATTTTATTTTATTGGTTATTTTTGCTGGGACACGATTAAAAGTAATTGCAGCAGAGAAAGCCGGCAGCTAATTTACATCTATTCTCCCTGGACAGGTAGACGAAACACAACCACAGAACTACGCTACACAAAACAACAAGTCTATCATAATAAATATAGAAAGTGCAATAAATACAAGGCTATCATTGGTGGTGACACTTGAGCTTGAGGCTCGCTGTAATCTCTGCAAAGCTTCCTCAGTCTCTAATATTAGTAGCTATGGAATTCCACCATCCCACTGCTTTAACTATGAAACCCGATTTAGAGAATGCTGTCTATCTGAACTGCACTCACCCCTTGTAGATGCTATAATTTTACCAGAACAGACACAGTCCTGATATTCTCTAAGATTAGAGGCTGCAAGATTATGAGTAAAGGAAAACTGAATGGAGAAAATGATATTTTTTCATTAATACGTTTATATAGCGTATCCACACCTGCCTGTGACTCAGCAGTAAAGACAGACGGAAAATTGGTCACATCATGAGTGATGGCCAGTCAAACAAAACAACTGGACTTAATCCTCTGAACCCTTGTTTGATTTGACCCTGTTATATTTTCCGTCACTGTGGGTTCATTTTTCCCTGCAATATAAAATCATGCACCTCTATGGAAACAACACAACGGCTAGAAGTAGAGTATTTGGCTATCGTTAATCTTTAAGGGTAAAGAATTTAGAAATGTATTTTGTGCAGGATGACACAGTTATAATACCATAAATATTAACAAAAAAATAAAATCAAATATCCGTGATTATTCATTTACAAAAAAAGTGACATTTCTATACTATATATATATATTTTTTGCCACTACTCTTGTGCACTATGGCAAAGTAATGCCTCAAATCCTAAAAAAAAAAAGAAAAGAACTAAAGTTGAATGTGTTTATTTACACACTACTAAAATTGAAAAAACTTAAAATTAACAACATTTTTCCAAGTGCCCACAGGTTTTACCAATACTGGGAAAAAATGGTGGCTCTACATACTATTGGTATTGCAATATTTTTTCTACCTTTGCAAAGTTTTTCTCTGTAACCCTGCACATCAGCTCTAGAAAGATGTTTCACCAGGCTAAATGTATTTCCTGACAACTTGCTCCTTTCTATACTGTTTTTAAGCCATGCTGCATTTATTTATTTACTGCTTAAGTATGTTTTACTTTCCTTTCAGTCTTCCTCATTTGTTTTCACACTTCCAACCTCTCTACTCTGTGTAAACACTGCCTGCAGTGTAGCTAAAAAATAAGAAATTTTCTTATGTGACCGTTCGTGCAGAATTGTTTGTTTTTAACTAAATTAGTTTCATGCAAATGGTGTATTATTTGCCAATTTTTTAAATGAAGCATTCAGAATAAAGTGATTTCTATTACATATCACAATTTTAAGCTTAGATTTGGTTGTTTTTCACAATGGAATCAAAAGTGACGCATGATGCGTTCAAGGATCGTCAGGTAGTTAAAAATTTAATGATTCTTTCTGTTTTTACAGTTTGTAGCTCTAGGAAGTGATGTCACGTTGGTGATTTTTAAAATGACTTTTAACTGCATTTAAATTAAACTAATGAGTATTGTGAAGCAGAAAACAGGTTTGGAGGAAAAATAGACACACACTTTAGTGTAAAGGGGAGGGATGCAAGCAGTGTACAAGGAGCTAGTGAGCACAGGTGAGTGACTTAGTTACCTGTCGACCTTTAGGCTGGATGGTGGATGGCAGGTCCTGTGGAGGTAAACCATTGACAGAAAATCATGGTTAAGCAAGATACAAACGTTAAAATATAACACAAAGAACACAAAACTTTTGCATGCACATTTCTTAGCGGTCTAACTATTGCTGGTGAGAGAAAAAAAAAGACAAAAGAGGAGAGAAGAAAGTGGAAATCTCATCTGTTAAAGCACATCTGGCTGTGGAGCAACCAAGCAAGCACAGAGCAAGCGAAGCAGCTGCAGCATCAGTGCGACCACAGTGTCAGTCGGAAGCCTTAGCAGGAAATAAAGAAGCTGCAAAACCTGATGAGGTTTAGTGTGATGCAGAGTGGGAGCGTTTAGCGTGTCTCCCTGCAGCATCGTGACCACTTGAGGCCTAGTGTTGTGTCAGCAGCACAGTATGCAGCAGCTTTAAGAGGCACACCAATTTGTTAACTGAGATATCGGACACAGGGGCCTTTGGCTCAAACAGATGAACAGGGAGGATGATCAACCTGCGGTGACCCGCCTACTTCTAATCCTACTGACACCATCACAACGCAAAATGAAACAGACACAACTCAGGATGAGTGTCCATCTGCATGGACTGACACATGTAAAAATACCAAGACACATCGGTGTGACACATGAGACGCACCGGAAGGCCAAGAGGAGACAGAAAATGTTATGGGTCTGTTGTTGGGGGGTTTCTGAGGGTCCTTACCAAGATAGAACTGTTAATGCTGGAGTGGCCATTAGCAGGGGACTGCCTGGAGGTGGTGGGGGACTCTTTCTGAAATAAGACATACAAGTCAGCAGCGCACAACCAGCATGCGCACACACACACACGCACACACACACACACACACACACACGCATACACACACAGACACACACACACTCCTGTAAGCAATGGAGGGGGTGTGTGTGCAGAACACATTAGAGACCAACCACAGCGCTGACGTAATGAAATGAGTCAACAAGACATGGGAGACGGCCTCGCCAGCAGCCTGCACGTCCTCACCTCACCACAGGGGGGCGCTATGCTAACACGATCTGAGCAGCTGAAACTATGAGGTCATCACTAACAGACTGCCAAAGACACAACTAAAGGGGTCTGCTGGAGTGTGCTAGACGATCAAAGGAGCTGGAATCAGAGGTAAATAAACACTACATGGTTGTAAAGGAACTGTAATGATAACTATGGAAATAAGGAGGACATGCAGCAAAGGAGAACTGAAGTATGAAGTTTTTGCAGAGATAAATGAGTAAAAACAGCTTTAAAATAAACTACTAACTTTTAAGTGTATAAAGTGATTATTCAAAATCCTTCAAATTATGGAAAACAGAAGTTTGTGAACTATGCAGTTATATTGGTCGTCCTTTGTGAGCTGAATCGAAGCAGAGTTGTGGTTTGCATGTTTTCTTTTCAACATAAAGGAGTCTAAATAGAGACGACTGCACCAACCACATCATACCAAGTTTAGACTCTGCACTGTGTTTTTTCAATCCATCCTAAAATAATCTAATTACATGTAAGGTTTTCATGGTCAGGTACCAGACTGTATGAGTCAATTCCCTTCTGTCCTTAAAGGCCTTTTAGATCTGCAGGCTTCTTCTAGCTGCTCCACAGTCCACTCAGTAGAGTCCAGTCACTGTTATTCACATTCAGGTGAAAAATGAGCCCACAGTGAATAAAAAAACATATAGCAATTGCCTGGGATTCAGAGGGTTACATTATTAAAGATAAGAACCTTAAGGCATATATATACGCTGAATACAAATTCACCGCACCAAATAAATAATAATAATAAATTACAGTCGTGACTCGATAATCTGACACTAAATGTAAAACCTTCATTTATATCAGATAGCAAGGCTGTCGGATTGTCAAGACGGAGGTTGAGATACAAGGAGGGCTTGATGCTTGAAGGGTCATTTGTTGTTAATATTCATTGTTTATAGTTGTTATAATAACTAGTGTATTGTTAGAACACTACGCATCACTGGATTTCACGCCTAACTGACCAGTGCGCTTGTGCACGGGCCCGCCGGTTGACATCAAAGGTAAGTAAATCTGTCGGACTGTTAAGTCAGATAATATGCCGTTATCCTTATTTGTGACATAAACTGTCATGTCAGAGTCGGAATCCAAGGCTGTCGATATGTTAAGGTTATTTTCTATGGATTTCGTTCGTTTTTCCTAAAAACCTGTCAGATAGCAAGGTTTTCGGATTGTCAAGGGGGTTGAATGTCAAGTCACGACGGTATATATTAAAATAAGGTTATATACAGGGGTTTGCAAAACACCATGAAGAAACAAAGGTTAGAGTCAAGGACCTTCACACTTTCAATAAATAAATTAATACCATTTATAATTTTAGTCTACGATTAACTTCCATGCATATAATTGCACTTAATACTGTTTATTTACCCTTTATTTGATTTTACATCTTCTGGTTGCAAAACCAACAGATCTGTAGGTTATGAGGCTCTGCTTGTTTTTGTTTTGCTTGACTTACGACCAAACTTTGCCAACACGTGTACTTTAGTGTTTGGCTTCTGCAACTAAATGCACAACATTAATGTTAAATATGCTCATTGAAATACGGTCATTCTAGAAGTTCAGCAAATAAAGAAATATACGAAATATAATATAATGTAATGTCATATCATATAATATAATATAATATATAGTTTCTTCCCACTTCACATGCACATTTAGTGTTTAGAATACTTTTTTTTTTTAACTCTACATTTCTACATTACGTTTTTGTTCCTTCCCACTGTTGCAGACTGCTTGTGGACTGCTGAAGCTTGAGGCAGGAAGTATGTTAGTGATGTGTGGTCAACATCTGTTTAAACAGGGCGTAAATAAAGTGGTAGAAACACCTTAAAAAAACAATATTCCTGCTGTAAATTCTCATTTCATCAAGCACGTCATGTTTCTTTTTTGCCTTTGTTGAGAGCAGAATTTTACAGCGTTCAGTCAGGACACTGCAGTTCACATCAGACTGGTTTTATTTTTCATGATCTTTTATTATCTTATAAGAAAGGTGGAATACAATTAAAGATGGATTCTTTTGCTTGTTTATGCTTCTCATGAGGATTTTTAGAGCTGTAAAATCAAAAGAATGAGTTAAAACACTCTGTGGAGCTGATAATAATCAATAAATGTGGGTTTGTCACCACCAGCAATTAAACCAGAAAACGATTGGTGCAGTATTAGCTTGACAGCTACTTCTTATACTTTGTGTTCTCATGATTTATGTGAGCCTTTTCTGCAAAATTAAATACATGTGCTATGTTTGCCATGAACGCACCAGTTTTTACAAATGTCGGAGCTTCAGAAGAGCTGTACTGACTGTGGAGGTTCTGAATTGAAGTTGTCAGCATCATGTTAAAGCTTTGCCATGGCTGCCGAGTCCCCACTCTGCCATCTTTACACATCCAGTCTATTTCTGCCTCCCTGAAGCATGAAATTCACACGTGAATAAGCACAGTTTTCTGTATTTAGTAACAATTAATAATCAATGTAAATGTTCCATTTCACAAATTTCAGCAAAGATATTTTTTCCTCTCTGAAATTGTTAGAGACTGAACAGAGAGAGTGTAGACAGCAGAGCTGAACAATTCCTATATTTCAGATTCAATTAGTGATATGAAACAATGCAATTAGGAAATTGTAAAGGCTGCAGTTTAGTAAGTGATGGAGTGTTTTTCAGCCAGAGTTTAAACTGTCGTGTCTGTGGTTTTATCAACGAATGCCTTCCTCCTTGTGACAATCACATATGGGATGGTGTCTCACATGTTTCAGAGCTATGTGAATTTTCACTTTTTAAAATAATATCAAATCAAATCACAATATCTGTCAGAAAAATTACACATTTTCTCATTAATTGCCTCCCTGCTTTCAGTGATCATTGAAACTTTGTTTTAATGCAGCTAAATTCGCCATTTAATTGTTCTCATTTACATAAATTTCAGCTGCTCTAAGTCAGAACTGTGTGGGATATGATCACAGCTCTGTTAACCAGCAGTCATTGCTAAGGTGATGTGCTGCAGATAAAATCATTACTGTGTTATCGCTACATGAACTGACAAATGGCAGCAGCTGTGCTCTGAGATCGGCTGTGCTGACATTTAAAATGAGTGATGACAGAGACAGCCAGAGGCTCTTTGGGTTGTCATTACGAATGTCTCCATCAGCTTTCTCTGGATCCAACCCCATATTTACCTAAATGTTGATTAAATGTGTCTGAAAGCGGCAGCCTCTAAATTTGACAAACTAAATTTTTTTTCCAGCTACTTGATTGAGACGTCCTGCTTCTTTCTTTCAGCTTAAATTATTGATATGACATTAACGGAAGTTAAACGAGGACAACGAGACTCCTGAAAGTGATGCAAAGCAGTCAGCCACAGAGGAGATGTCTCACTCTGTTACAGATGTTGGAACTCCAGAAACCCTCAGCAGTGTAACAGAGTGATGCTTTGTATTGTTTGTAAACAATCTTTTGCAAAATTCAAAATTCAGAGGGCAAACAGACCCAAGAAAAGGGGAGTTAACAAAAAAGTAAGAAACAAATGAATACTCAGATTTACACACTGCAGACCTCACTCTCATACAACTTTATTATTACATTATTTAGGTTATTATCTATAATTAATAACACTGTTGGGGTCTCAGCCTTAATATGTTTATAGTCAAGTAAAGTAGTATTTTCTATCATTTTGATAGGGTTTAATCCTTTATATGTAAATAACTCGGGCATAATTGCACCTTAAGGAACAATTCAGGGTCTTAACTGTAATGTTTCGTCTTGCTAGATTTTTTTTTTAACGCCAATCCTAATTCTTGTTACTATAAAGCACTTTGGCGCAGAAGGCTGTTGACTTAAATGTGATGTATAAAAATGGCGTCTTGACATAACTAACTTATCTTGCTTATATTGCATGTTGGCAGTCTTTGTTTGTTTTCATCATTCATCTAATTTGACATTCATTTTCATTTTGACAGCCTTCCAAGATTATTCCATTAGAGAGTGCTGGGTCTAACTTATTGTTTACTGAACATTTACTGGAAATCGACTTGGCTTATAAAAATGTTGTCTTGACTTAACCAAATCTTGTTTATGCTGCATGTTTGCGATCTTATTCATTTGATGAATTTGTTTTTATTATTCGTCTAATTTGACATTTGTTTTTGTTTAGTTTTTGTCAAAAGATGCAAATAAAGTTCTTCTTCTTATTATTATTATCCGTATTAGTATTACTATTACTACTCTACACAGTAGGATGAACAGATGGACGACAACACAGAAAAGGTCAAAGTTTAAACTTATGATGCAAATTTACAGGTTTATAATTGTATTTTTGGGGTTTACTGGAATTTGTTTACATGCATAAATTAAAAAAAAAAACACATTATTTTTCTCATACTGTCCATACATACTGCACAGCGTGTGTTCTCACGCTTATGCTTTGTTGTAGCTTCTGTCTCTTTGGAAAAAAAAAAAAAGATTGGTCAGCTGGCATGATGAAATTAAAGGTAACGCTGGTGAAATACTATAACCTGAAGTCTATGAGTAAATGGATGTAGCTCTGGCAGAAGCACAGACTGTAGGGAGGCCGATCAATCTCTGTTTGAGGGCGTCCAAACTAATTGCTAGACAGGACTTATGCAAACTGTGTTACATGGTGTCATGGATCAGTACTGGAAGAAAAGTTTGACCTTTAAATTGAGACATTTCAGACAACTGGGAAGCAAGGTTTTCTGAGGGAGAGAAAAAGTCACTTTGTTGTGGACTTTGCATACCATAAAGATGCACAAAAAAGGAGCGATATGTTACAGTGAAGGAAAATTAAAAACCTAAAAAGCATCATTTGGGCTCTTTAAGCTCATATTGATCCATTATATTACCCTAATACTGATTCCTAGGATCAGTTTTCTAGCTGTAGCATCAAAACAAGCAGCAAGTGTGTATTTAATATCATCACAAGGAGGTGCGGCTCATTCCGAGACCAGAAGGGGAGGATGGGGGAGATAGTTCCGGTATCTTGGTTGTGAAATTGGTGTGCTAAATATCAGACCCAGCCCCAGCAAAACACAGCAACACACACACACAGCACACTTCGTACACACCACACTCTTGGGCTACACACACACACACACGCACACACACACACACACACACACGCTCAGTCACCAGGCAAGCAGTTAGTAACCAGATCAGGAGCTCACAGTCAGCAGTACAGAGGAGGAGGAGGAGGAGGAATAGGAGGAGGAGGTTTTACCTCACATGATGAGCCCTGTGTCCGGTAACTCGGTACTATTTTGAAGGTGATGCTGCCTCGCATCTCCCTCTGTGAAAACACACACACGAGCACAGTGAGTTTGAGTCTTCATCATGATTAACAGAGATACATTAAAGTGTGTGTTACAGGGACAGATTGATTATATTTGCCATTTTTGAGATTCCTGTATTGTTATTTTCACTGATTCTCAGTAGATTAAATGTGTTATTCTGGGTGTCATGCAGCTGCATATCTTTGCCTGCAGTCACCCTGAGGTGTCAGCAATCTCTCTGAACAAGAAATGCAAACCACAAACGAAGAAATTAACTGCTTTCAGACTGGCTAAGGCTACGCTAACAGCTAGCGGCTAAGCTAGAAGGCAGCTACAGATGAACCTGAAACACAGTCTGGAAAACAATAACTAATAATGCTTTAATATTCGGGCCTTAGAGGATGCTAAAAGTGACAGAATGACAGACATAACTGCAGGTGACAAACGATTATTGATCTAAATCAGTGGATCTTACAGGAAAACAGAGAACATGCTAACGTCACATGATGCTCTGACATCATCACTCCTATTGCCAGCGTATGCATTCAGCTGTAGTAATCCTTCTTGATGAAGAAGCCAAGTAAGGAATAAGATGTTCCCTCTACTCATTTCATTTTTTTCAAGTTTATGCCAACTTAGCTCCCTCCAGCTCTGACGAGCTGCCTAAAATTGAGGACTGGCCAACACGTCTTCCCCCTGCAGCTCTAAATTTATGGTTGTTCCTCATATATAAAGACTTCAACACTCGCTGACTCACCAGCATCTTTTGCAGCTGCTCCACAGTCTGGTTGGCCACACTGATGCCGTTGATCTCCCTGATTTCATCTCCAACATGCAACGTTCCTGAAGACAACATATGGAGGAACATTTTACTTTAGCAAGCATCATGTGCTTATCTGCCCCCTTCGTCTGCAACCATCACATTACATCCAGGTAGAAATATGTCTTGTCTTCTTCTACTGCTCTGATCCACATTCAACTCCATATTTGCTTTCAAACTCGTACTAAATACTTACAGACATATTTTCATCCATTTGTTTTCTTTCTCATCAAGTTTTGTTTCCACCACAAAAAGCAAAGAAAGGTAAATATGTAATACATTCTTTTTCTCATTACCTTTCATTAGCCTCCGCTGCCATTTTTCTCATCGCAGCTACAATAGAGATCCTTTTGTAATCAAGGCGGTTTTCCAATTACCGCATGATAAATCAGCCGGGGGTTAATTAACGAGACACTGCCATCACAATTAAAGAGTAGAACAAGCGCGCTGTCAACCTGCTGTTTATTTTGAGTTTGTTTTAATTCTCACTGCTAGTTTAAACAGATCTGAAACCTTCTGCTTCCTAAAGATTTAAATGAATTGTTGTAAACTGTAGAAACAATTGTGGAGGAGTTTAAACTCTGTTACAGGAGATGAACAGTATATGTGGCAAAAAAAGAAGTTTGCGAGAGAAATTAAAATTTAGATTTAATTAGAACTGAGGAAGATGTCTAAATAAATATCTTTCTGATGATGTATTAGTGTTGCTGTTTATATGTCTAAAGTCTCAACATTTAGCTCAATTTAACTGATATGTTTAAAAATTGGGTTAAAAAATGTTCCACGTAACTATTTAAAAATCATTTAAATCTAAATCTTTTTTTAAGTCCTGCTGAAGTGTTTGGTTATTTGGATCATGCTTATGAACAATTCACAATATCTACCAAACCATGACAACAACTGAGTAAAATAAAGCTACATATAGTTAAATAAAACTATTCTGGCACAGAATCCTTTCAAAGAAGTACTAAAACATACTAAAAACTTTAAATAAGATATTAAGATATTGGGAATATGTCATATACAACAATGTCCCGTGTTCAGAAATGACTTGTATATCTAAAAGTCTCAATATAAAGTGAAAAATATGTAATTAATTAGGGCTGCAACTAGCTGTTATTGTCAGTTATTTCTTTGCTTTGGTTTGTTAGACTACCACCAGTTTCCCAAGAACTCAAAGTACTTCGACTGTCATGATTTGTCTAACTAGCAGTCAAAAACTCAAAATTACTCATTTTGCAATGATATTAAAACAGACTTCAACAGCAAATCCTCAAGCTGGAGAAGCTAGATAACGACAAATCGACTATTTCTTCTGTTATTATTGCTGTATGTCTTTATTTAATATTATTAATTTGTTTTTTTTATTAAAGAAATTAAATGTTAACGCATACAGAAAAGAGGTATATTTCCATCAGCAGTGTCTCAGCATGTATGGAACAGTGAAACTGACGGTCCCAGGGATCGTATCAGATGAGGACATATATCAGAAGAAAGCATAATTTCTTCTGTGAAGCCTCACTGTGACTAGTTCACAGATTTTACACCGCACGACTCTCAAGGTTGGATTCCTGTGTGCTTCGGTGATTATTGTATGACTCATGCGGTCTTGTAGGAAGCGATTTATGAAATGCACTTTATCGAGGTGTAGGCTTCAATGTCAGGTGTGAGCGGACAAAACTGTACCTTGTCTGTGGATCATTCCCCCGTGCATTATCCTCGCAACGATGCAGTGGTTCGAGTCGTTCATCTTCAGCGTGATGCCCTGCAGCGAATTAACACACAGATCTGGAATCAGCACAAAGCTCCACTGTCGGCTCAGAGCGAATACAGGAAAAGCTTTCAAATGTCTATATTCTCATGAACAAAATAACATCTAATGCGAAATAAAGCTAAAACTCCTGCACAGTGCTGCATTTGAAAGCATGTTTACCATTGGTTCGTCTGTGTTTTTCTGGAACTGAACCAGCCGGACTCTGGTGACGTTCTCCAGGTCCATGTCTCCGTTGGTGCTCTCCGGAGAGTCTCCGTTCAGGTAGGGTGAGGTGGGTGGAGGGGTCACCCGCAGGGCCTCGTCACTGTAAACCTCGTGGGCCACCACGTCGTGGGCCTGCAGCAGGGCCTGTGGGCCAAACACAGAGTCGGAGGGAGGCTGAGTCACACAGCAGCTACACAACAAATAACGTCGTGTGTGGAGTGAATATGTGGGTGAAGTGGCACGTGAGCCTAATGTCAAGAAACTCAGTCCACGTTAAATAGAAAAAGCAACAGATAATTTCATTCTTGATCATTTAAAAACACTAGACATGTCTCAGTTTTGGATTTGACTGAATTGAAGTAGATATGTTTTTATACATAGCAGCGTTTTGGTGCTTGTATCACTATTTGAGAGTTCAAAACATCTGTCAGCTGATATTTTATTAAAGCTTCAGTGCAGGACTTTAACACAAACAAACGTGTGCTACATTCAAGCTGAACAAGTTGACACAATGTTTATTCATTCCACCAGCTCCACATAAGTATTTTGCGTAAACTGTAGCTTTAAATCTGGGTTTATGTGGCAACATCCAGGTAGTGATGTGTTATCTAGCAATGATGGGTTTGCTTAAACAAGGAGCAACTGTGACAACGGAGATGCAACAGGGAGAGCAACTAAGAGTACTGAGGAAAGACTTTGGAAGCATTCAAGAAAAACTTAAACTTTGTTTTTGAAGGAAGGATTACAGTTTAAGGGGATAGTCAGTCAGGCATAAGCACATGTCAACTCAGCTCTGGGCTGCAAGTTAAAAAACAAACATTATCATTCTTTAGAGGGACATGATTAATGTGCTTTTAAAGATTCTTCATTGTATATTATAAGTCACACTGTAAACATCAACAGCTGACAAAATGCACAAATAAACCCTCAGCACTTCCAGCTCTTGTTTCTGCAAGGTTTGGATGCACCTATTATTAATTCCCTGAACTCCAACCAGTTTCTAGGACTTTATTGCTCCTGTCACATTTTTCTTCACTGTGGGCTCATTTTTCACTGCAATATAAAGTCTTGCACGTGAGCCTAATGTCAAGAAAATGGAGTCCATGTTAAATAGAAAAAGCAACAGGTAATTTCATTCTTGATCATTTAAAAACACTAGACCTTTCTCAGTTTTGGATTTGATTGAATTGACGTAGATGTGCTTTTTTACACAGCAGCGTTTTGAGGCTTATATCACTATTTGAGAGTTCAAAACATTTGACAGCTGATATTTTATTAAAGCTTCAGTGCAGGACTTTAACACAAACAAACATGCGCTACATTCAAACTGAACAAGTTGACACAATGTTTATTCATCCCACCAGCTCCACATAAGTATTTTGCGTAAACTGTAGCTATAAACCTGGGTTTCTGTGGCAACATCCACAGAGTCTTGCATCTCTGTGAAAACAGCACAACCATGACAAGAAGGAGAGATAACTCAGAAATGTCTCTCGTGCAGCATGAAAGACCATAAATAACAATACTAATAAAAAAAAAAATAAAGAAGCTGAATTGTTAACAATATTGGAAAAAAAGACCTGGCTGCACATTCTATCAATATTTTATTATTTACATTTTTACAACCTCTATAAACTCTGTTTTTTTTAACACTACTTAATTCCATAAAGATGTTTCACCATGCTGAATGCATCTTCCAACAGCTTACTGACAACTTGTTTCTCTGTATATTGTTTTTGAGCCTTACTGCATTTATTTTACAAAATATGTTTTATTATTCTCTCAGTCTCTCTTATTTGTTTTCACTTTTGTCTTTTCTCTGCTCTGCATAAACACTGCCTGTAGTTCAGCCGATAGTTACGGAATTTTTGTAACATGACTGTTGGTTGCAGCTGAGTAAATCATGGCTTCTCAGTTACATAAACAAGTGTGAACTGATTGTTATTTTGGCAAATTTTTAGTAGAATAAAGTGATAGATTTGGTTGGTCGCACATGACCAGTTCATGGACTCTTTTAAAGGCTGAAAACATGACGGTTGTTTCTGTTTTTACAGTTTCTGGCTGATAAATGGTGCAATAATGGTGATTATGTTTTAAAGGATAACATGCTTTCCAAACTCGTCAGTCGGTTTTTAGGTTTAGAAATTGAAAAGATTGTCATGCAAATAGATTATTAGTGTAATTTCAGCATCACAAGCCTCCTTCATAAAAAATGTAATTGTACAGAAGAGAAACTCATTGGTTGGTTCTTCTGTCACTACAGAGCAGCAGGAATCTACTAATCCCTGTCTGACTGCGCTGTACGTTGAGGTATTCCGTGTATTCCACAGGTGCCTTTGGTCTGCAGCCGCCACATCTGTTTGGCTTAAAGCAGCTCAACTCGTGTAGATGCAGAGACGACGCCTGACACCCACAGAGTGTTCGACTGCTGACAGTCACAGAAGCCCTGAGTGGCACGTTAACAAACCCGTCTGAACTTCAGAAGACAGCAATCAAACCTCAACAAAGGGGGAAACCTGTCACTGTCTTCTCTCAGCAAACACACACCCAGGAACACACAGTCGAACCCAAGGAGGCGAACAGATCAGAGAGGCAGAGACACGAAGGCGACGGCAGCCTCTCTAACTCCCATGTCAAAATACATCACCCACAAACGAAGCCTGATGCTCCAGGACGTACAGGAAGGTGAGGCAGTGTGTGCCACTGTGTCCTAATGAGGACGGGGTGAAGGGTTAACCGAGCCCTCCTCGCTGTGTGAGAGTGATTGAGTGTGAGAAAGCAAAAAAACATCACCAGAAAAGAGAAGTAAAGGAGAGATAACAGAAGCAGGATAGAAACTTTGGGATGAACTGATGTGGCTGAATTCTCTGAAACAAGTAAAAAAAAACAACCTGCAGTCAGCAAAATGTTGTAATGATCAGCAGTTTCTTCCCCATCAATGCAATTCACGTGAAAAATCAGGTGATAGAAATAAAAAGGCAAATTTTAAAGGTGACAGGACAGTGGTTTGGTTTTACTTGTTTTATGTATTTTACTTATCAATCATCATTCTTTGCATTAAGCTTTATTTATTTTGTTTATTTATATGTTAGGTGTCTGCTTGTGCTGCACCAGGAAACTTGGTTTAAAAAAAAATGTATTTAAAAGGTGAAAAATAAATGGTGTTACTATTATTATTGTTATTTACAGTCAACCAAGCCAATTAAAACCACAACGTTTCTCCAGATTCAGCCTGTTTAGCCTCACAGAGCTGTAGAGGAGCTGGGAGACAGATTATTTTTAAAAATGTTTTAACATTTGAACAAAACCTCCTTTTTTCAGTATCGATTCTAAGCTAAGCTAAGGACCTCCTGGCTTCACCTGCACATAACACTCGCTTTTCTTCGTAATATACAAATTGCTAAAGAAAAAGTACCTGTGGCAACTTAAACCTGCTCAGATCCACTAATAAAGCATCTCGTCTGCACTTCGCTCCCACTTGAACTCGCTGGAATGCAGAACACGTCGGTTTACGCTCTCATCGCGCCATGAAGCCGCCGGGCCTTTGACCCGACACAACACATCGCATCAAACACGCCTTGCTGACCTCCGTCCATGCCTTCCCTCCCTCCTCACCCGGTCCCCCCATTCATCTTGACTACTATAATTCTTATCACTTTGTTCTGGTACAGTTTCCTCTCTTTTGTCACCTTTCTTTCCATGTCTCTCCTCTTTGTCACTCTGTCTGTTTGACATTGATCAGGCCATTGATCAGAGATGGAAATCGGTGATGTGATGAGATTAGCAGAGGAGGCTGCTGACAGCCCTAAAAGGACTTTTCCTTGCCTGGATTAAAGCCTGCAGGTCAGATCTTCAAACATCCGTCCATTCAAGCAGAACTGATGCGAGACATTGGTGTTGTTGAGATACTTGAAGTTAAGAAATGTCAAACAAGTAACGTCTGTCTGATGTCTTATATTGCTTCAGAAACTGAAACCAGGAGCTGAAATCTAACAAAGTGTTGCAGGAAATAAAGCTGTCCCTGTCTTTAGCTCCTTCTAACTTGTAGCCTCCTTCCTGCTGAGCACAGGCAGAGGAAATAAGAGCATCTGAGAGGCTGTTAAATAGAGAAACATCTGAGGCCTGCAGCTCTACATGTTTGTTAAAGGACCTCCTTCACTCGCCTGATGTGTGTTTTTGACTCACCATGAAATGTGGCTGGGTCAGTATCCGTCTGAGTTCTTTAGCTTCGTGGTTCTCTGGGTAGCAGGAGATCTCTTCCAGTACCTGAGGACACAGAGAGAGAACAGTTTGTTTTCTTCCTCTTATTATTTATGCCTAAATGGCTCATACCTGTTCAACCTGCTGTACCTCTGTAAGAAGATCGACCCAACAACCTCCACCTCTAACCTGACACTTCCTCCTGTGTCTACACGGCCAAAATGAGGCCGAATCTGGACACCACTGGGCGAGTGGAAGAGCCTGGTCAAGGCTTCGCTCCTCCTCCTGCTCTTTGGAAGTGACTTGGTTTGATGTCAGCTCTAGTTATGTTGCGCCTGACTGGTGAATGTGGCATTGTGGAGGTGAGGCCTCCGAGGGGGGGTCTGAGCATCGTGAAATTTGGATTGCGGAGTTACGATGGGATCTTTACATCAAGTACGCCTGGCAGGCACGGGCAGTTTGTGTGCATCCATCTGTTCATTATCTCTAAACTGTAATAATCACATTTACTTGTTCAACTCACTTGTACATCAAAACCATCGAGCCCTTCTGCTCAGCCATCTCTGATTTGCTTGAAAACTTTTATAATAAACTGTGACTATTTAAAATGGTATCTGTGAAATTTTAGAGTTATATATCAAGTAAACTCCAGATAATTCATAAAACCTGTTGACCCATTTTCAGAAAGTTTTTTTTTTTTTTACACATTGAAATTTTAGGCTGTTTGAACCTTAAGATCTCAGGAACTATTAAAGACAAAAGCCAGAAATTTATACAGTTATTTCTCATTATGTCATTGATTCAGAATCTGCAATAATAAACAAGTAGATCAAATAGTCTCTGATTATTGGTGAGTTGAAATATGAAAAAAAATTGAAGCCGTCATAAAAGTCCCATCTTGAGCTCCCATTAACCAAAAAATTGTCAACGAGTGATATTTTATGATTCATAGGTAGCTGCTTGTCACAATAAT